ACTCTATAGGTCATCAGCAAGTATACCAAATACATATAATTGGAGCAAGAATTAGTGACTTGCTTCCAAAGAATTGTATAAAAAGGTGGATTAAAAGTAACTTTACAAGGAAGAAGCCAGAAAACATTACCTTGGCCGGGTGATATAGGGTATCATCATGATAACTGCACACACTCTCTAATATTAAATGATGAGAGTATTTCACCTTCTTGGTCTTTTCTCCCAAAATACATAACCACAGTCTAATCATGAGAAAACTATTAGACAAATCTTAATTAAGCAGCATTCTACAAAATTCTTGACCTGTATTCCTCAAAAGGTTCAAGGTCATGGAAAATAAGGAAAGACAGAAATTGTTACAGATCAGCAGGGATTAGGGAAACATGATGAGCAAATAAAGTCTGATGGTCAGTTAATAGTAGTATTGGTTTATTAGTTTTGTAAATTTACCAATGTATTATGACATGTTGACCTAAGATAAACTGTAAAGGTGATATATAAATTCTCTGTATTACTTTGGCAATGTTTCTGGAATTCTAAATTATTCTAAACTAAAGAATTAATAATAAAAATATAATGTAGATTTTGGGTCATGCTTTTGTAAGAGATAAATATGCACATTGAAATTTTTAAATTAGCATTACCACAAAAACATACACAAAAGGAAAGAACATTGAAACATAACACACTATTAAATTATATAATATTATTACCAAAATTAGTACTATGTTTTCAATGAAGTTGCCAACTGCAGCCTTTTAACATTAACTTCTGTTAATTCAAAATACACTTAATGAGAATGCCCAATGTTTATTATAATTTTAGGTTCCTAACAATATAGGTAGCTTAAGTTGGAGCCTAACAGTCACGGTACAAATCTGAGAATTTGATTTCTGATGAATATATTTATATTTTTCATCCAAACCCTAGAACAGATAGTAAACTACCTTGCTGCTTTCGACAGCTGGAAAGTCCAGCTTCTTGTTTCCCTTTTCACACCTGAGGCTGTTTTTCCAGGTAACAGACTTTGTACAGCATCATCCTACCAGCCCCCCGGCCTTAAGCAGACCCAGGGTCAAATCTGCTGTTTTTATGTACAGTGAGACCTCAGATCCCAGGGCCTCAGACCTACATCCAAATCTGAGGTCTCAGTGGGTCACTACCATATTAGTTCCCATTTAATTTGGCTCTTATTTCTTTATTTTGGGCATCTCTGCTGATTTGTTTCTTTGGTTTGGCTTTTCACTTGTTTGTTTATTTTTGATTTAGTTGTTCATGTCAGGAAGATCCCCTGGAGAAGGAAATGGCAACACACTTTAGCAGTCTTGTCTGGGGAAGCCTATGGACAATGGAGCCTGGCAGGCTACATCCATGGGATTGCAAAGAGTTAGACACAACTTGGTGACTCAACAACAACAATTCATTTTTAAAAATCCAAAATGTAGTCAGAGGGTTCTGGCTGGCTTGACTGAGGCTGTTTAGTGATGTGTGCCTTTGTAGATGGTGAACCTACTGACTAGGGGACCTGACCCTCAATCTTACTCCACATTCATTCCCTTAAATTTCAGCCTTTCTTCTTCTCCATCCTCACATTTGATGTCTAAACTTAACTTACAGATAAAAACGCAGCCTAGAGAAATAAGGTCCGGAGATTAACAACACCATGGAGAAAATTCTGAAAATACAACTCTCTGATTCACTGGACTTTTCATTCCAGTAGTTCTCAGTCTTTAGAATAAGCAAAGATCAACTGAGGAGCTTATTAGAAATGCAGAATTCAGAGTTCCATGCACAGAGATTCTGATTGACTAGGTCTGAAGTGGAGTCCAGTAACATGAATAGCAAACAGGTACCCCGGAAGGTTCAAGTGCCTATCATTTCAGTTACTTAGGGACTTCAGATCATAATCTAAGCAATTAAAAACAAGCATAGTCCTGACATGAGTTTTTTAAATTTCTGATGTAGACTTTTATACCAAAATCAGAGTGGAAAGAAAAAGTCTATGTAAGGAGTCTGCTTCTCTTGTTTATAATAAAAGTTGTTAAAGCTTCCCATTGAATTATTCAAGACATATTTCCCTAAATGGTGCTCTTTTATAAAACTTACTTGTGATAAGTCTTAGTTTTAAATGAGGCAATAAGAAATATGCACCACTACGAATATTCCAACATTATTTTGAAACTTTCCACTATGATAATTTTGTCTCAGGAGAAATCTGAAAATTCCATAAAATTATCTACATGTAATTTATAGGAAGTTGAGTCAAGAAACAGGTGTTACCACTGGAATGATGAATCTTGTCCTTTTCCTATTCATACATTTCTAATATATGAGCCTCTAGACGCTAAATCAGACACTGGGATGACATAGATTTATGTCATTTATTTTCTTTCACTGAGAAAATAAAGAGGTAAATGATCTGTACATATCTTCCAGCTGTTCCACAAACCTCATACATTGAATACAAACTGAGACAGTAAAGAATCTGCCTGCAATATAGGAGACCCAGTTTCGATCCCTGGGTCAGGAAGATCTCCTGGAGAAGGGAATGGCTACCCACTCCAGTATTCTTGTCTGGAGAATTCCATTGACAGAGGAGCCAGGCGGCCTACAGTCCATAGAATCACAAAGAGTCAGACAGGACTAAATGACTAACACTTTCACTTTCACTTTCATCACGACCTCAGTGGCTCCATCTTACACTTGACCCAGTACTTAAACGTTGGATGCTGCTCTGGAAAAGTACTTGCATCTCTGTGCTATGAGTTTGGCTACACTGCCAACTAGCATTCCATTTCCAGATGGCTCCTATTACCACTTAATTATTTTCAAATCCTGATTTTATTTCAAACAATTTACCATTGTCAAGGGTCACCTCCAAGTACAATATGGCTAAAATCAAATATTTTTGGTTCTAGGTCTATGGTTAGGAGAGTTGAAGAATGGCCTTCTTCAGGGTGATTGATAGACCATATGGCAAAATCTATAGCTAAACTCTAAACCCAACATTAAAATTTTAATAAAACTATAGATATTTTTATGACAATTATTCAGTCACAATTATTATTTATTTATTGATAAACAAGTCAGTACCAAATAAATCTATTTATTAATTCATTAAATGTTCAGATATTTATTGAGGTCTTAATATGTAACTAAATAAGAGAACAGAGTCATTCCCTCTATGAAGTTGTATTCTAATAGAAGATAAGATGATTACAACTATCACGAAAATCTTGGGAAAGTATATGCAGAAAGACAATATGATTAGATGACAAGAGTTGAAGAAAATTTTGGGAATTTTTAATTTCCTTTGCATTATTAACCTATTTTCTAGATGTAATACTGATTGGAGACATATGGACTTGAGGGAAAGGAATTAAGTCTGAATTTAGACTTGGATTAAATACGCTTTTGATCCATACTTTCTTTATTTTAGTCTTAGTTCATTAGAAATTATAGCACACACATAGAATTAATACACTATGCATCTTATAAGGGTGTTGTTTACCTGGTCATGCCCATGTTGGGCACATATGTGTTAAATCTAAGAGAGTTAAACTATCCCATTACATACACTGTCTTTATACACCACACACATATGAACATACACACACATTCCCTTAAAGGATTTGTTTAATGCAAAATTTACAAAGACCTACCTAAAAAAAAATTGATGAGAATTATTAAATCCAAACTCTAGAATGAGAGTTTCCAAATCTTTAAATGTGTAGGGAGTAAGGGGTATAAACGTGCTTGCCTTTGTTTTCATAAAAGTTGTGGGCCACTTGTTCTTTTAGATTTGAGGGATTCTCTTTTTATTCTACGCTGCCCTTTTCCTAGACTATTTTACTTAGGATCCCTTGTGTTAAAGATCTTCTAAATTACTCTCCTATTAAAAGTAGATTAAAAGATAAATTACTCCTTATTTTCATACTTGCTTAAACTACAGTCTACTTTCTGAGTTTTCATCAGTTGTTTTCTAAAGAAGGTGTTCCCTCCACTAGAGTCTGTACAATGACAGTGTCTTATTCACTGCATTTCGGATGTGCCAGCTGAGTGTCACTGCGGTTGCCTCCTCCTCTCACCTGAGTTCCCCTCCTGGCTATGTTCTTTCTGGCCACATGAGCCTACAGTTATAGAAGCAGGATCAGGATATTTACAAATGCCTTTTCACCTGGAAGAGTGATTTCCTGAATCTCTCTGGTACAGAATCATGCTACCCTGTAACATATCAGGTATCTCTGATAACTATAGCTCAAGGGAACAGTTAATTGATCACTTTACACCAATTATCATGAGGGCTAGGTTACTATTTATAATTTTTATTTCTCTCTACAGGCTACCAAAAAAAAAGGTAAAATTCTGATATCTTATTGTTTTAAAAATCAACATTTTTCCTCAACGATTCAGACACTAACCTCTCATCTACAATGCTGAACTCATCTGTTTGAGAATGTCAATAACCCCTAGAGAGCATGCACTGAATTACCTCCAAATTATAGTCACTCATTCTTTGTTACTGTTATAATCCAATGACTTAAATCAGGGGCTATATATACTAATTGTCTTAAGTACTATTATAACATTAATCTTTTTGTGAACTTAGAACAGTTTTACATATATCAATTTATTCATTTAACAAATACTGATAATGTCAAATATAATATTCAGCAGTTCCTAATATACTTTGAAACATTTTAATAACCACAAGTTATACCGATATAAATTTACAGTATTAATAGAAGACTCACATTTCAAATGGACATTTTATGTTGGTCTCCAGAAAGAATAATTCCCATTTTGAGTCTTTGCACCACAATTAAGATATCACCGAATCAAGATTTATAGACCCAAAGTGTAGCTTCACTTTACATGTGCTCCACAAACAAGTCTGAACTTTTTGCAGATATTGTTTGATGTTAGGAAAAGGATGTACTATCATCATGAATGTCCTTTGGCTAAAGGCAATTTGTCAATAAACAGCAGCGTCTACTCACGTTTCTCTTGTTCTGCTTCTATCCCTTCACTTTCTGTGTCACTTGGCAAGATCCACGGTTGATGAACCACCTGCAGTTGCTTTAAAGAGTCATCCTGCCAAAGAAGAAACTTATTTGGATTAAATTCTAGAATGATATTGTGAATATGGATGAATACTTCAGTTCCTATGAATAACATGTCAAAAAAAATAACAAGAATTTCCTCACAACAGAAAAGAATTCTAAGCTTAAATTCATTTCCATTTCATGGACATGCCACAAACTCCGAACTCATTATTTTTAACTTTCTCCTTTTAATAAGATTTAATGTCTTAATAAGAAATATCTAGGAATTCCCTGGTGGCTTAGATGGCAAAGAATCTGCCTGCAATCCAGGAGACCCAGCTTCAACCCCTGGGTCAGGAAGATCCCTGGAGAAGGGAATGGCAACCCACTCCAGTATTCTTGCCTGGAGAATTCCATGAACAGAGGAACCTAGCAGGCTATAATCCATGGGGTCGCAAAGAGTCAGACACGACTGAGCAACTAACATACAACACTAGACTATGCTTCTTCCTGAGTTAATGTTTTTATGAATTCCTGGCACTCATTCTGGGGAGTATAATAATGAAATATTCAATATAAAACTGCATAAAATGTGTCTGTTTGCCATCAAGTTTCCAATTCCTTTAAATGTGATTAAGGATTAGTAGGATTTAGAGAACAGTCTCAACTTTACCCTTTAGTACTACTTCACTGCCTCCTTTCTCTTACTACTTCCTATTTTCATTAATATAGTTCTTAAGTACTTCCTTGCTGCTCCATACCTCCATCACTGACCTAAGGCAGTCCCTCATCATCTCACATCCTGACTGTAGTTATAGTCGTCTACAAGTTTTCTAGGATTAAGATTCATACCTTCCCTAGTTCCCTCCACCATTTCCTTGCCATGGTGAGATTTTAACAATGGCACATGATGCATTCATTACCTCATTTATAACCCTGAGTGGTCTTCTCATTATCCCCAGCATAAAATCACAACTCGAGGCCCTTCATGCTAGCCTCTGATTTACCACCACTTCCATCTCCATTCCACCTTGACTGACACTTCCACTCCAGCTATCATTAACTGGTAGTTCCCCAACTTTCTCATTCTCTCTAATTTACTAAGATGTTTTCATATGTTATACTTCCTGCTTAGGATGTACTCTATTTATCTGTCTCAAACATTGATAGTCCTCCCAAGGCTCAGTTGTCATCTCCATTGTGATGTTTTGATAAGTGCTCTAATGATCGATGGGCATGCATGCATGCTAAGTTGCTTCAGTTGTGTCTGACTCTTTTGTGACCCCGTGGACTGTCGCCTGCCAGGCTCCCCTGTCCATGGATTTCCCAGGCAGGAATACTGGAGTAGGTGCCAATTCTTTCTCCAGGGGATCTTCCTGAGCCAGGGATCAAACCAGGTCTCCTGCATTGGCACGCAGATTCTTTACCACTGAGCCACCTGGAAAGCCCTGATTTATTTTTAGGATTTAATTTTTTTCCCAACACTGGATTTGGTCTTGCAGGAGTAAAGTACAGAAGCAGCACAAATCTGAAAAATCTTAACTTTAGAATTCCATAACAGTATAGAGAACTACAGAAGTAAATTTTCAAAAATCTTCATGTAACAGAAAGGGATATTACATCCCTGCAGTTTTTCACATGGCATCTCTGGGTTTAAAGAATATGAAAAATGACCTTTTTGGTCTTACAAGGTAAAATCAAATGGCAAAAGCTCTTTGTTTAAAACAGAAAAAAGTTTAAAGTGATCATGAAAAAAATGTTTTTAATTGAAAAAGCATTTTGGCTATTTAGCTTTCTGGTCCAAATCCTAAAATCTGTTTTCATAAGAAAAGATATGACTAATAAGTCAATAGTGTTACTTTTTCCCACAATAGTTCAGCATATTCAGTAACACTACTGATTGGTTTCTGGTCTTAATGGCTTTACTGTTGAACAGATAAGCTATTCTTAGTTTATTACAAATTATTTAAAGTACAAATGAAACATTAGCTTGGTAAAATTTGTAGTTTGGGAAGAACTTTAAAATGTTGAGCTGTTGGAATCAGAATCATAGCAATAGTATAAATATTGCTATTAATAGATCATTTAAATGTTTTACTTTGGTTTTCCCTTGAATACAGTTAGTAATATAATGCACCTGTTTGCTTCATCAATGCCAACAGGCAAAACTATGTATGGCCAAAGTTCAGCCCATCAGACTACTTATAATTCTTTTTGATGGGGTCAAGGAGCTAAAATTGTGAACATTTTTAAAAACAAGAGTTGACATGTTCCTTTTTTGCCAACTTATTCAAAAATTTTTCTACAGGAATACTTAACTCTATCTGAGCATAGTACAAACTATTTCATACTCCCAAGAGCAAGTTCTTTGGATTGCTTTTAGAAGAAATGCCATTCATCCTTTTTCTAAAACACTTTCACCATAAGTATGTAAATGTCCAGGGACCAGGAGTGGTGGGAAATAGTGACATGTATCATATGGAAAACAGTCTCTAGCCCTGTATCAACATATCATTTTATCTGCTAACAGAGTAAGTGCTTTATAAACTTTAGTGGTATTGTTATTCCACATGGCTGGTTTATTTTTGGATTCTCTAAATGCAATCCATCAGTGATTGATGTCATGTGTGGCCATAGGTTATTCTGGTTATTTAGAGAGAAAAAAAAAATAGTCCTCTGCTCTAATGCTCACCATTGGATAATTTAACTCTGAGGCAACTAAATATTTCTTTCTTTTTGGTTAAGAATGAAAATAATACACAAAACATCAGCTTCAACCTTTCAAAAGGGATTATCACTTTTATTTTAAATATCTTTACTTCTTTAAGACCTCTAAAAAGCAAGTATTCCTGAATCATGTTGCAAATAAAGCAAAACAATACTGTACCCCACTTACATATATTTAATAGACTGTAAAACTGATAGAGAATTAAATCTATACTTCTGTTAAAAATAAAATTCTCCATATATATCATATATTTAATACAATTTAGAATAATTTTGTATTTGTTAATGAAATGGCTAGTATTATCAGGCTGAACACTATAATTATTTTGCGAATTATACTTCTGTAGCTTATCTTTTGCATATTATCAGAGGACAATTAAAACATAAGAACAGGGAGACTTCCCCAGTGGTCCAGTGGTTAAGACTCTGCTTTCCAATGCAGAGGATGAAGGTTCCATAACTGGTCAGGAAACCATGATACTGCATGCCCCAGGGTGCAGCCAATTTTTTTTTAAAACTAAAATAAACAAGACACTGTAAATCAACTATATTTCAATTAAAATTAAAAATAATTAAGAACAGGAAAGTGATATATGCAAGAAAATATAAGTTTGAATAAACAAGATCTGGGAAAAGAAAAAAAGGAGCAATAACAAAGTTACAAAAATACGGTAGATTATGAAAAACATTACAAATAAACACAAGCTGCTAAAAAAAATTTATCCAACAAATTTGCTACACTACACTACATATTGGTATTGCCCTCTGATAAAAGAAATGTTCACATATTGAGTCATAGGGAAGTCTTCTGGCTTATGCATGAGTTAACTTGAATCTGATCTAACTAAAATAGTCTGTTTGTGGCCTATCAAACATACATTGCACATCTGCTTTAATTATTAGAGAAAAGGACACATTGACCAAAGAATAAAGAATGTCCATGTTAAAAATAAAGATTAAATGCCTCTCTTCCTGGGACACCAATGCTGGGCCTCCTTCAATGATGACTCCCTTCCCAGGTGCCAAGGCCACACTGACTTGCTGTGTATTTGCTGGACTGTTCTTTTTTTTGAAACCTTGAAGAAATGTATCCCTGACTTGTTTGATGTTCTTTGTTCTGACAAGATACAAAACTGTGCTGAAAATCCTGCATCTCCTGAACAGTTTCTCAGAGTCACCTGGGAAGTAGGCTTCTGGGCTAGTTCTCAGTTTGGCTCAAAAAATACTTTTTTCTATGTTTCATATTGATTGTTTACTGATTATTTTCATGACACCTCCATCTTATTTCTTAACTCATTCCTTTTTGTGGTGTTTCTATTCAAGGAAATTATAGGATGACATTGTAAAAACTTTGAAAGTAACAAAAGATGATTGGGTAGAGCCAATGAAAAACAAGCCATTTTTCTGGCAAGCCCTTTCATTTGTCTGATTTTATGAAGACACTCTTTCATCGACTTTGAGCTATGCTATAACTTTGCAATTTATAGAAATGTAGTGCATGATAAAAAACAAAGACCTCTTACTATTATAGGAGAATAATGTTATGCACATTCCTTCAAAAGTATAACTGGAACTTCATTACAGTGATGATCACAGGATACACCACAGGAGAAAAGATGCCAAAACTGGCATGAAAAGCAATTCTAAGTTATTTGGTTGCATAGAATCAATCCTCTTTCCAGCTCAGATGGTACAGCTGACAAAATCATCCTCAACAGGTTTGAAAAGGCCTGCCTGCTCAGCGTGCTCCTTTTCCTGTCTGACGCCCTCGGAGACTACGGCACTGCCTCTCGACACCTTGAGTTCGTTTACCCTCCTCTGTGTGTTCTCTCCAGCCTTCAGCTAACTTCCTGAAGTTATGACTGTGTGTTAGCCACTCAGTCGTGCCCGACTCTTTGCGACCCCACAGACTGTAGCCCGCCAGGCCTCTCTGTCCATGGAAGTCTCCAGGCAAGAATATTGGAGTGGATTGCCACTGACTTCTCTAAACTGCTTTTGTGTGTGCATGCACAGTCACTTCAGTCCTGTCCAACTCTTTGAGACCCCATGGACTGTAGGCCACCAAGCATCTCTGTCCATGGGATTTTCTAGGCAAGAATAGTGGAGTGGGTTGCCATTTCCTCCCCTAGGGGAACTTTCTAACCCAGGGATTGAACCCAAGCCTCCTGTGGCTCCTGCATTGGATGTGGGTGGACTCCCACGGAGCCACCAGGAAAGCTGCTCTTGAACAAGTTTAAAAAATCATTAACTTCAGTCTTGAGCTCTTTATAGATACTCAATCATTTAAACTGACAATATTTATCTGATGGATACATATGCAAATGAATACATTTCTCTAATAATTAGGAGGTTTTTAAGCAGTATACTATGCTTTTTGGTGTTGTTTAGTCACTAAGTAATGTCCAACTCTTTTGTGACCCCATGGACCTGGAGCCTACCAGGCTCCTTTGTCCGTGGAATTCTCCAGGCAACAGCACTGAGGTAGGTTGCCATTTCTTTCTCCAGGGGATCTTTCTGACCCAGGGACTGAATCCGGGTCTCCTGTATTGGCAGGCGGATTCTTTACCATGGAGCCACCAGGGAAACCCATATTGTATGCCACTTTCCAATTACTCCTCTAGGAAATGTGATATTTTAAATGGTTTAGCTTCTCTACAAAAGGTATAGCAAACTTTGCAAGTATTTGGTTTTAAGTTGTTTTCAATTATATATATATATATATTTTTTTGAGTGAATGTTAACATTATAATTTTAACAGCTGAAATTTTTGCAATGTGAAAATTTTATTCCTACCCTGAGTTATTAAGTACCTTACAAGTAGAGAACACATAATTTCTTTTTAAACTGTTATAACCATTTTGAGGATCAAGAGAAGTAAACTGTTATAAAATATCTCCTTTTCATTTTGCCAAGAATACAAATCCTATCTGAAAAAATAAATAATACATTAAAAATATAGAAAATATAGACATTTCATTTTAGCTTTACCTCTAGAGGAAACCATATTGTCTCCTTAGTTTTGATTTAGGGCTGAACAGAATTGCCTAACGTCATGTGGTTATGATTCTATCTAATTATAAGACTAAATTTACAAAATACAAAAAAAAAGGGGACTTTGATGTGCAAAGAGCTGTTCAAACTTTAGCAAGAAATGTTAAATATATAAAAATGTAAACTCTATGGTTTATTTGAGTTTTAGTGTATACTAAATAAAAGCAAATGCTTGCTAGATCACTTTTAACTTCAATGCTTCTAACATTTATAAATACTGCTCCTCATTGTTTGCTGATTCTACTAACAAGAAGGAGGGCAAAAGCAAAATAAGAGTGTAAGAGAGAAGAAACAAAAACTATCATTTTATGCCTCACATTCTCAACATTTTGCACTGGCAAGGAAGGAGAATTTAAATATATATTTTCTACAGACCAAATGGAATGATTAACATCTGCAAAAAAAGAAACTATTAATAAATTAATAGTTCATTAATTAAGGTCATGCTTAGTTTTTTGTAAAGGATGATTATTTATTGGTTTTAAATAGAGCTAAAATCTAAATATCAACCAATATTAGATTAAAAATACTATGTGACACTGACCCCCTAGAAAGGTAAGGCTTACCTTGGTTAGTTCACACATAGTCCTAAATTCAAACTGAAAGTGAGCAATGAATCTCAGAAGCTAGAGAGATTATATACCCCAATCAACCAAAAAATATTATTCTTGAGAGTAAATGAATAAACAGAGTAGATAAATAAATAAATAAATAAGAATTTCTCCCTAACCTATGTTATACAAAATTGGGGATTTTCCATGATGTATGCAGTTACTTTCTAGAAACAGCATCGGAAAGAACACGTCAGGGCAGCACTTCTCAAACTATAGGGTATTTATGAATCACACAGAATTCTTGGTAGAAACGTACATTTTGATTCTTTGGATCTGGTGTGAGTGCTGAGATTTGGCATTTCTTGCAAGCCCCCAGGGGATCCAGTGTCACTGGTCAGAGGAACACTCTGAGGAGCAGTGCCCTGCCAGCACTTCCGATGTGTGTCGGATGCTTAGTTGTGTCTGACTCTATGACCCCATGGACTATACCCAGCCAGGCTTCTCTGTCCATGGAATTCTCCAGGCAAGAATACTGGAGTGGGTTGCCATTCCCTTTTCCAGGGGATCTTCCCAAACCAGGGATTGAAACTGAGTCACCTGTGTTTCCTGCTTTTGGCAGGTGGATTTTTTTTAAAATCACTGAGTCACTTGGGAAGCCCTTGTCACATAAAGTATTTACGCAACTGCATATAACATGCACGTTTAGATTGCACATGTATAATGATGGAGAAAATAAGGATCTTTTCCTTGGATAAGAACCATAAAATTAGACTGTCTCTTTATCACATATGCAGCCCTTTTCCTGTACTGGCATCTCAATGGTCCCCTTTCTTTAGAGTACTAGATCCATACAGGACACATTACAAAAGGTGTTAGGCACCCTTTTTGTGGCGGTGACCTACTACCCTTAGTCCCTGGTGGGGAATGCTGACCAAGGGCTTGAGCAACCATGGAATCCTAAAGGGAGGTTCTAAGTGTACATACTGAAAATAGTATCTCTATCTTCTTGGGAAACATTAATTGCTTTAATATATTTATCTAGATTTCAACATCAAGTACATTAAATTGAAATTTAAAATTGATGCACCAACCCTCCTTTTTTTTTTTTTTTTGCTCCATATATTTTGATTTCTAACCTGAGTTCAGAACTTCTACCCAGTTATTTCCTTGCTTTCCTTTTGCTACCCTTTCTCCATGTGCCTTTGGTAAAATTTCAACCACCTCCACACAAGCATGCAAACCAGAGATGTTAGAAACTTAAAGGGGGTGCTATGCACTCAAATTTTCCTCTTTGAGTGATATCTGGAAGCAAGAGTGACTTTAAGTATTGGTACACTACTCTGAATAAATATATGAAGTACCTACTATACTGAGAAGACCACTCAAAATGGTCTTTGAGTGGATTCATGCATGCAAGAATAAAATATTTAGAGAAATAGATTCTGTCTAGCCGAGAAGCAATATTCAAACCAAATATTTGCTACTTCTATGACTTCATTGCCAAACTGTTTCCCAGTTTCCTTCACCTGCAAAAGATTCAGATGGCTAATTTAGTGACCATTATGGTTTGGCTTCAGACCAAGTTTTATGGAGTCTGTCCACTGGCTTATCTGAGAGTTCTCAAATGCAGTCTGCAGACAGAGCAAAAACACATCCTAAGACACAGAGAATCCTTGGCTATCTCCAAAATAAAAACAGGAGTCTCAATGCCTTTGCAACAAAAATCTGCCAAGACATTTTTATTGTCAAGATAGCACTTTGCTTAATGACTTGTAGGGATAACATCCTTGATAAGCATTTATCACATGAATGAATGCCAAATTGGTAGAGCTTATTCTCTCGTAAGAGCAATGATCACGTCTTATTTTGTTGTGCACAGCCAATATAAAACATGTGTTTCTCATTTATTAAGATATCAACAAATGCTTGTGAATGAAAATACACAATAGCCTTAGGTTTATACCATTTTACATTCATTTTCAAGATAAATTAAATATAGGATCTTCTCACCAGAGAGGAACATAACACCATTTTGATAACCTACTATATACTGTCTTTTTTTTTTTTTTTGTAGGCATGACCAGTGAATGGGTATAGACTGTAAACCCTATAGGCAGATGGAGAAAGCCCAAGTGGGTGTCTCACCCCATATGATAGACTGATTTCAGACCATGTACAAGACCACCTGAAAACTCACTTCTTCCATGTAGTTTTTCAACGACTGTCCTCCACTGACCGCTTCTCCCTAGAGGCAGAGAGGAAGAGAGGTTGAAAAAGTCAGGAGAAGGAGAAAGAAGAAAATAAAAGTCATGAAAAGTAGTAGAATCTGGGAGCAACACTAAATCTATACTATTCCCCCACCACTTCTTTTGGTGGTTGTTGTTTAGTTGCTAAGTCTTGTCTGACTGTTTCACAACTTCAGGGACTGTAGCCCACCAGCCTCCTCTGTCGATAGGATTTCCCAGGCAAAAATACAAGAGTAGTTGCCATTTCCTTCTCAAGGCAATCTTCCCAATCCAGGAATCAAACCCTCATCTCCTGTACTGGCAGGTGGATTCTTTACCACTGAGTCACCAGGGAAAGCCCACCTCAGTTGATACTTGTGGGGTCAACTGTTTGACAAATTCTGGCTCGGAAGGAAATAATTTTTCAAGGCAACAATATATCTTTCAGGTGGATTTTAAGTCACATAAAGAAATACCACCTAGTGGAGCTATAATAACTACACCTTAGGCGTTAGTCACTCAGTCATGTCCAACTCTTTGACCCCATGAACTGCAGCCCACCAGGCTCCTCTGTCCATGGGATTCTCCAGGGAAGAATACTGGAGTAGGTAGCCATTCCCTTCTCCAGGAGATCTTCCTGACCCAGGGATCGAACCCAGGTCTCCTGCATTGCAGGCAGATTCCTGACCATCTGAGCCACCAAGGACAACTTAGGACTGAATGCTAAATGACTAGCATCCAAATTTCTGTTAGTAACTTTATAAATATGTACTTAAAACTAGGCTAATAAAAAAGTCACTAATTCTGTATTCAATAAATCTGTGTGAAGACCTAACATTATATAAATATATGTGTAACAAGTCATGTAAAAGTTATACATATATATACCTATATACATAACTATATGGAAGTACAGTTGATTTACAATATTGTGTTCATTTCAGATGTACAGCAAAGTGATTTAGTTTAGAAAAAGATATATTTCTATACCTCATGGCCAGAAACATTTGGAAATAAATTCTGAGATACCACGAAATGATAAATTCTAGGACATCATGTGTGTTTAAACGATAACTAAATAAATATGAATAAAGCTTACATTTGTTTCTATAACTTTTCAAAGACCCTCCTTTTTAACTTTTCAAGGCTCTCATATGCATGATCTTGTTTGATTGATTTTTTTTACTACAACTTGAGGGTAAGGCATCCTCAGGCCAATTCGATCCATAAAGAAATTGAAGGCAGGGATGCAGACAGCAATGCTTAAAGGCCAGGAGCCAAAAAAGGCATTGCTGGGTCTGGAGTCAACCCTGACACTCTTATACCTTGCTGAAATGAAAATTCTAAAATGAAAAATTAAATTCACTTTAGTTTTTTTAAAAAATGGTGATATGAGACCCAGCTTCAACCCCTGGGTTGGGAAGATCCCCTGGAGAAGGGAATCGCTACCCACTCCAGTATTCTTGCCTGGAGAATCCCCATGGACAGAGGAGCCTAATGAGATACAGTGCATGGGATCGCAGAGAGTCAGACTTGACTGAGCAACTAACACTTTGACAATTTCACATACTCCAAAGCACTTTCAGAGGGTTTTAAAAAAAAAAAAGCTTCTTTTTTTTTTCCAAAACAAAAATTAATCTAGGAATAAAGTTCTGGGATTCTTTAGAAATCACAGATGGGGTCATATTTTTTCACAAATTATGGTTTTCACTAGCAAAAAAATAATATGCTATAGTTTAAATATTTTCAAATGCTTCCAAGCTTGTGGGATTTTTTAATGGATAAGATAATGAAAGAGATAGGATACTTATATTTATTTAAACTAAAGCATAAACTGTTAGGAAAAATCAAATCTATATAAATCCCCCCAAACTGTGAGAAATTTAATCAAAGCAGGCAGACAGGGCTGGAAACTTACTTCAGATAAACTGCTTTTTACAGTTGAATTAACTATACTATCTCCCCTCATTTGGACAACTGGTCTAGAAAGAATGCTGTGGGTTCTTCCAATCTGGCTCTTCCTCCTGACAGAACCAGTGCATTTCTGCCAATACTCCTTTCCTCTTTGCCTGTGCTGTTGGGGTGAGAGGCATGCGTGTGTGCTGTCACTTCAGTGGTGTCCAACTCTTTGCAACCCTATGGGCTATAGCCCTCCAAGTTCCTCTGCCCATTGGATTCTCCAGGCAAGAACACGAGTGGGTTGCCATGCCCTCCTCCAGGGGATCTTCCTGACCCAGGGATCTAACCCACGTCTTTTCTCTCTTGCCTTGGGAGGCAGGTTCTTTATCACTAGAGGCACCTGGGAAGCCCAGGGATGAGAGGATGAGATGGCAAATGGTTTGGAATTAGATAGAGACCTGCCTTTTGGAAGGGCCAACATCTAAGGCCTAACAGTGAGATGCTGGAGAGCAGTCCCTAGGTGCTTGCTGAAAAGAGCAATTTGTTTTCCTTGAATCTGCAATGCGGTTGTTTTCCCCCATTGTCTGGAAACTTGCAGAATCAGGCCTAGACCTGGTGATGACTGAGGGCTTTCTTGATGACCAGATGTAACAAAAGCATTGTGTCTCCTCCAGGGCTTTGCTTTCTTTTTCCAACAGTGCCAGGTCCTTTTGAATATCTACACCAGAGAAAAGGGAGCAACCCACACAACAAGATTTATTTCAAAGGCCACACAGATTGGAGTCTGGCTGTAACCACCTCTCCGATCACTGACATGGGTAGCACTGATGAATGAGGAGCATGAGGTAAAAAACTTCAAGAGGAAAACAGAGGGAATGGGTCTTTTGAGAGAGGATGATAAACATGGCACAGAGCCAAGTGAACGAGATAGCGAGCAAGACATCAGAATCTCTAAGTCTTAGGGTCAGAGGAGATGGCACTGGTTAGGAGGTTTGATTCAACAAGTCTGTCCTCGATTCCCCATTTCCAACATAGCGCTGCTGCCATGCTGACTTTCTTCCTTACCCTACTGGTGGTGCGAATGAAATAAAACCACTTCCAAAGCACAAGGCTATCAACTTTGGCCATCTTTTTCTCAGTTTTAAAGAACTGGCATTTTAGATATCAAGGCATTCTAAGAACATAATATGATGTTAATCACCTGGAAATGAATCAAAAGTACCTAAATGCAATTTCCCTTGAAAAAAGCAAAGAGAAGAAAGGGGATAGAAGGGAGGCAGACTGGGGCGTGTGAAGGAAAGAAAGGGCAGAATACATGGAAACTGTGCCTAAAAAAAAAAAGGAAGAAAAGGTATTTCCTGAAATGTGGTTTCAGTTATCATGAATCTTAATATAACCAACAGTTGAGATAAAAACGCTTTGAATGTGAATTACAAAATATATTATAAACTCAGCGAAAGGAAGAAAAAGAGGCTGATATGATTACTGCTTAACTTATGACACAGGATCATGGCTGTTAAGAGATGGAAGGCTCTTGTCACTCTCCTAGCTTTTTTTTCCAATTAAGGAAGCATTCTTAGTGAGATGGAATATTCTAGAGACAGAGCTAGGATTAGACTCACACTTTCCCAAATCTATCACCATTTTCCATCATACAAGACTGCTCTTGTTTCTGTCAGTAAGTATTTCCTGTTCCTCTCTTACTAATCTTTAAACAAAATATGTACAGTCTTGCACTTGCATATAGGGTACACTTATTCTCAAACATTTTATGTCTAATACCTCTGGTATTCATTTCCTTCAGAGAAAGTTCCAAGAGAACCCTACTTCCACCAGAACGTTCTTTCTTCCCACCTTTTTTTTTTTTTCAAATGAAACTAAAAAATAATTTTAATACAGAGGAGACTCTCTTAAGTAGTACCTGGGGGTATTTATAACCCATAGTATGGGAGCTCCATATAAACGGCAAAGGCATTTCTGAACCTAAGGGACCCATGACACCTTACTCTTTTGTTTCAAAAGTGTTTATTAAGCACCTATTCTGTGCCACACAATTTACCAGGCTTGGGGACAAAGAGGTGAATAAGAACTAATCCCTACCATAGAAAGTTTACCTTGAGAAAACAGATCTACAAGTTATTAGAAGATAGAGCAGAAGTTATTTGACACAGATAAGCCCAAGGTGCTATAGGAAAAAAACAGGAGGAAAGGGCATCTTGTCTTTCATTTATTAAACAAGCATGTTTTGGGAATGTCTATGTGCTGGGAACTCATGACCCCTTGATATACAGGATGAAGGAGTCAAAGGGGAAAGATTAAAACTGAGCAAATTATTTTTAAGCTTAGTCCTAAAGACTTAGTCGATTAGCCAGATGAAGGAGCTGAATAAGGAAGAGGCCTCATACCAGGCAGAAGGAAAATTCTCTACAAGGGCCCAGATCCAACACAGCAAATACCTAAAGCCACAAGTATTACAATGAAAATCGCCAATACACCATGCATTGAAATATATATTGTATTTTGAGACAGAGAGCTATTAATATCATGTAATTTCCTAATTTTATACTATACTTTCCTGTAATATAGCTGCTAATTAAATGGCTATATGTGTGTGTGTGTGTTATTTGTTTGTTCTTTGGCCATGCCAACAACGGATGGAAACTGGGCCCCCTGCAGTGGAGGCAGCAAGTCCTGACCACTGGACTGCCAGGAAACTCCCTGTTGGGTTTTCTAAGGTGTATTACACGCGGTCACTGAATTTGTGGTAGGTGATAAAAAGATTGAAGTTCAACTTTCCAAACTTCAGCAAATTTGACAGGTGGCAACTATTACTGACGTCCAAGACAACAGGCAGTAAGCTAGGTCCAATGTGTAAAAAATTGGGTGCCACAGTTTAGAAAATCAAAAATTCTGGGCAAGTTCTGAAGTCTTTTATATCACTGATTTAGTCAATAAATTAATAGCTAACTTGTGTTTTCAGACTTAAATATGTGAACAGATGTTCTTTCTAATTGATCCCAGTGTCTTTTCATATTGTTGAAGAATATTTTTTATGAAACTTTGTTTACAATCTCATGAACAAATATAGCATCAGTACAGACCCTCTTTGTCTGAAAATGAC